TGGTAAAATGGAGATGTGTGAGTATTTGGTCAATCAGTTTTCTGAGTTAATAAAAATCAGGGACAATAGAGGATGGACAGTGTTACATTCAGCTTGCAGTGGCGGGAGTGTAGACATAGTTTCTTTTCTATTGAACAAAGGATTGGACATCAATGCGTTGTCAAATATTGTTGAAAGTGTATTACATATTGCTTGTCTGAATAGTAAACATGATGTTTGTAGGTATTTATCAACAAGTTACCCGGACTTGTTAGCAGTAAAAGATAATCAAGGTAAATCAGTTATAGATATTGCCGCTGAGCATGGTGACATAAACATGATTCATATTTTGAGAGAATGCTGCTATTTGGAACCTTGTTAAATTTTCATCAATTCTGTATTGTCATGAAAGAAATGCTGAGATACATCCATAAAAATATATTTCATAAAATTTAATGATAAAATGCGTTAAAGTTGATTACACTTACATTAAAATGCGATTTTTCCCCTGTATCCATGTATAAAAAAGAAGAAGAAAATCATAGACGAAGATAGCGAATAGTGATCAACCTTATAAAATCCATTATACATATATAATCGAGAAAATTTCACGAACATGTCTGAAATCTCCAAAGGTAAGACCAGATTTCTAAGTAAATGAAAAGTTTAAAATATTGCCAATTTTGTTGCAATTGTGTTATGCACAGTGTATTTATATTAGATACAAAGAGTTTTTCATATTTTTTTCGTAGTTTTATTTTAAGATAGATAACCGTTCATTATCACTACCTTTTTCATATGACTCTGTTTTACGTATAATAGAGACTTTTTAAATGCAAAGATGGAATTGGAATATTGAAATGTTTACAGGTTCTTCAAATGATTCAGTACAAGTCTCTCATCATTATGTCTTTTGAGAGAATTTAAAATCGTAAGAGGACCTATAAAATGTTATAATATACAATTATTTAATGCCTGAACAGTCAATAGACCAGAATATTTTTCCCGAGGTGCAGGGAACAGCTCAGTGTGTTCTCAGCCGCTGGTCTCGGGCAATAGAACACACTGAGCTGTTCCCTGCACCGAGGGAAAAATTTTCTTGTCTATTGACTGTTCAGGCATTAAATAATTGTTTTATTACCTAATTTTATTTTCCGTATTAAGTGTTCAAAATTGTATATTCAGTACATAAGGTTCCCGTACCATATTGTTAATTTTTACCTAGATACGGTGCATCTGTAATATTAATTAAAGATTAATTTATAGACTATTGTTTACATTCCTCTCGAAAAATTTTCACTCTTATGGAGACGCCGCCACTTCCCGGTGGAGAGAGGCCTTTTTCGTGCCAGCAGAGCACCTACTGCTACACGGGACCTCGGTTGACAGGTCTCACCCAAAGGACCAGTCTCAACATCCCACAGTGTATTAATTAAAAGTAACTCTCATTAAATAAAATACCCGACCATTGAAATCACACAATTTTTAAAATCAATGCAGAAAGATCAAATAAGATAATTTTTGTACAGTGTTACAAACAACTAAATTCGAAACCCGGATCGTTTTGGACGAAATACGTCACCGGTCAATAGAACGCGCAGTCTATTGACCGGTCAATAGAACCCACATTCTATTGACCGATCAATAGAACGCGCATTATATTGACCGGTCAATAGATCGGTTTGAAAAGATAAGGAAAACTGAAAAAAACATCCAGAATAGATGAAAATATTAAATCTCTAATCAAACAACAAAATTCACTTGATTAGGTAATAAAATTTGATATGATATAAATAGAGTGCTTCCAATTCAAAAAAAATGTCTTGTAATTAATGATTGAAAAATGATCTAAAATATTGCATTCATGCAAATATGCTTAAATTTGTTATGCAATACAATCTTCTCATGCGTTTAACTATATTTTCATTTGTTTATGTAAACAACATGGTTGAAATAAACCGACTTGTTATTTATCTTTCTAATAAAGCATATATATACTGTTGAAATCATTTAGAGCTATGTTATTGTTATAAATTCAAAAACTTAATTTAAAAGATTGAATGTGAAGAGTGTGTGTTTCTATAATTTAATTTTTTTTTTTTTTGAAATAATATATGTTTAAAAGAGATTTAGTTTATTTCTCGTGAATTTCTTATTTTACGCTTTGATTTGTTTTCATGTCACATTTTCTTTCTATGTGAAATGATGAATTTTTTCACACAGTAATGCAAATATGTATTTCTCGGTATTTTGATTTTGCTTTATTTTGTTTTCAAATATTTGAAATAAAGAATCTTTTTAAAAAAAAAAAAAAATTCTTAGATAAGCTAATACATGGGGACCAAACAGGATTTATTAAAGGTAGATTTATTGGCGAAAATATTAGATTAATATATGATATTATGCACCAAGCAGAGTCAAGAAATATACCTGGTCTCTTAATGTTTATCGACTTTGAAAAAGCATTTGATACCATTTCATGGAACTTCATAAATCAAACACTTTGTTTCTTCAATTTTGGTCAGTCAATTAGAAATTGGATAAAATGTTTCTATAATAATATAAAGTCCTGTGTTATTCAAAATGGGATAGTGTCTCAGTACTTTTACCCTGAAAGGGGTTGTAGACAAGGTGATCCTATTTCACCGTACCTTTTTTTACTTTGTGCAGAGATTCTAGGTATTTTAATTAGAAAAAATGAGGATATTAAAGGTATAACTATTGATGGTGAAGAATACAAGTTGTCACAATATGCAGATGATACATCTGTTATTTCTGATGGCTCTCCAAGCTCATTGGATGGAATTACAAGAGTGTTAGATTATTTTGCATCAATCTCGGGTCTAAAAATAAATTTTTCTAAATCTAAATTAGTCTGGATTGGAAGTAAAAAATTCTCAAAAGATGTTTTTCATCACTCAAGATGGAAGTTTGATCCCAGTACTACATCCTTTGATTTACTAGGTGTTAAGTTTTCTGTTGATTTACATGAGATGGTAGATATTAATTACAAATTAAAAATTGAAGAAATTAAAAAAACCATGTTACAATGGAAAGCTCGCAAACTTACTCCTCTTGGAAGACTGACTGTAATAAAAACATTATTAATTCCTAAACTAAATCATCTTGTCCTCACTTTACCAAACCCTAATGATGATGTCATGAGTGCTTTCGAAAAAGACTTGTATAATTTTTTATGGAATAATAAAAATCATAAAGTTAAGAAAAATGTAATTATTCAAGAGCATAAATTTGGGGGCTTGAAAATGATAGACTATCAAAATTTTGTTACTTCATTGAAATCTAGTTGGGTAAGGCGGGTTATGTATTCAAGTGCAAAATGGGTTAAATTACTTGAAGCAGAATTGGGAATAAGTATAAATCATCTTTGGCTGTTTGGAATTGACTTTATTAAGAATCTGAGTAGTACCACGAAAAATAAGTTTTGGAAAGATGTTTTCTCTAGCTGGTGTAAAGTAAATCAGGCTAAAGCTATAGCTGATTTAAGTCCTCTCCAAGAACACATATGGCATAATCCAGGAGTTACCATTGGTGGCCAGTCAATTTTCATCAAAAGTTACTTTAATTCGGGTTTTGTTTTTATCAATGATTTCTTAGATTTAAATGGAAACTTTTACAGTTTTGATTTTATTCATTATAACTTGAAGGTAAATACAAACTATGTTGAATATGCCGGACTAAGAACAGCAATTAGAAAGAGACTATCATGTTTTAAGAATTATGAAATAAAGCCAATGCCTAGACCGATGCTTCCATCCAGCCTTGAAATTTTCTTAAAGAATAAAAAAGGGTGTAACGATATGTATAATGTTCTTATTAGAAATAAAAAGGGCAATATAACTTCAGTTATAAAATGGAGTGAAAATGGGGAAGAATTTAGTGAAAAATACTGGGAAAAAATTTTTGAGCTACCTTTCAAAACAACCCAAGAATCAAAACTTCAATGGTTACAATTCCAAATCTTACATAGAATAATTCCTACTAATTGCCATCTTTTTAAATTAAGACTTATTGATTCACCATTATGCTCCTTCTGTGAGAAGGATATTGAAACTATTGATCACTTTTTTGTTGAATGTTCTCCTGTAAAAGAAATATGGTTAGGGATTGAAGAATGGATCTTGCAAAAAGTAAACAAGTCTGTTTGTTTTGATAGACAATCAATTTTATTTGGTAAATTTTTAAACAGAAACTCCTACAAGTTAGAAAATCTACTTATTCTGATCATAAAACAATATATTTTTGCTAGTAAGTATGCCAAAACTATAAAATTAAACATTGAGACTTTGAAAAATGTTATTACTGAAAGAATTAGAGTAGAAAAATTTCTTTTGTTAAAAAATTGTAAATATGATGAATTTGAAAGACACTGGCAGGAAATATTTGAAAAACTTTAAAATTTTCTTTCCGCTAGCTGTTCAATAAAGTGTGTGCCCTCTCATCTCTCTCTCTCTCTCGCTCACTTTCTTTCTTTCCTCCTTTCTCCCCCCCCCCCTCTCTTTCCACATAAACTTTCACACTAGCTTCTATTATTATTTTTTTGTTTCTGTTTTTTGCTTTATTTGCATATGTATTTATGTATTCGTCTCTTTCATATTTGTGTAATTTGTGTGAAAGTTAAAATAAAACCTCAAAAAAAAAAAAAAAAAAAAAAAAGAATCTTTTTATTTTCAAAGATGTTCTCTGAAAGATTGAATGTGAAGCTTGTTAATGTTTTTTGATGTTTGAATATTTGGCATTGTCAGAATTTTTAAAATTAATTACATTGTGTCATATTTTGCTTTTCATATGAATATAGGAAAGAAATAAGAACAATAGTAATATTTTCCCGCCTACCTCCAGTTAAATTTTCAAAAGGTGACATGAATATTCATATGGTTTTTCATTAAAAAAACTTACGTATGTGGGAAGACAAACTTTAAGAGAGATGACTCTATACATTTTGGTAAAACGTATGTTTTGCACTAAAAAATCAACGGAAAACAATATTAAAAGAAACAACTATATACAGGTTATCTAGACTACCACATCACAAACTCATGCTAAAGTTTATTGTGTTTCACGGGAACGGCATAAGTTAATAGACAAAAAAGACAAAAAACGCTTTTTTTAATTTCAAAGCGATTAACAACTAAATCATTATATTCTATTAATATGCATGTGTCTAATTTAGAAGAGAAGATATAAGGATGATATCTGTAAGATTGAATGTGAAGTTCGTTAAAAATTTTTTAATGTTTAACATTTGGTATCGTCAGAATGTTTTTTATTAATTATTGTGTCTTATTTTGCTTTTTATATGAATAAAAGAAAGAACTGCGAACGATAATAATGTTTTCCCGCCTACCTCAAGTTAAATTT